ATGTGAATTTCTGCAGGGAATTCAGAAATGGAGCTGGGGGGGTCGTGGGGGGAGGTAATCCCAGATTTGTCTTCAATGGACCTTCTCTCTCAACTCCTGGACCTTCCCTCCTCCTACCCCATCATGCCCAGTATAAGGATGAAAAGAACTAAAAGACAAGTCTAAATAAAAAGGAAGGAAGGACAGGTCCCAAGAGTACCGGGAAAGAGAAATAATGAAAACAGTTCTCAAGAGATCCCTGACCACTTCTGTATATGTGTGTGTTGTTGTTGTTGTTGGACGATGGGGAGGGGGGGGGTTAGGGAGGGGGGGAAGAGTTAGGAGTCTATGGGAGCAAAAGATTAGGGGTTAGGGACGATCAGGGACACCCCCCGGGGGACTGAACTGAAGGGTTTGCAGTGTCAGGAAGCTATAGCCCCGGATGAGGGCCGCCAGACCATTTGAGGACACTGGCGGGATGGAAGGGTCGGGGAGTGCGGGCGCGGAGGATGGAAAGGTGGCCTGTGTTGCTGCACACTTTCCCACCACAAGGACCCATCAACAGAGCAGGCTCTCCGCAAAAGGAGATTTTTGTTTGTTTTTTGTTTGGACTTTGTAGTTGTTTTTTTTTTTTTTTTTTTTTTCCCTAAGACGTTCCTACACAGTGCGGCCACCCGGACGTCCAGGCCGTTGGGAATGGTCCACTCTCCTCACCTAGCTCTTTCCCAGGGCCAGTCCGCGTCCCCCGCCCGCTCGCGGGGAGGAGAGGCAGCAGCTCCGCCTGGAGTTGGATGGGCAGAGTCGGGGTGCGGAGCTCTCCGGGGCCCGCGAGTGGCGCCCGGTCCCTGGGGTGGGGGAGGGTGGAAGGAAGGAGGGAGGAAAGAAGCCAAAAAAAGGTAGGCGGGAGGGGGTCCCGGCCCTCGGGATGCGAGACGCCGGTCCTGCAAGGGTTCGCTGCTCCCCAGAGCGCCTTGGAAACCTAACTGGGGTGGGGATGACGAGGACCTGGTGGGAGGGGTGGGGGGGTCCCGGAGGTGAGGGGCGTGTTTTCTTCTCTCTTCCTTCCCTCGCGGAGCCTGGGAGCCGGCTGAGCTGGGCCGGTGGTGAACCCGACCGCGGACGGGCCGGGCTCGGACTGCGCCCGGTGAGTGCCAGGGTCGGGGTGGGGGTGGGGTGGGGAGATGGAGGAGGCGCCAGGGGGGGCTCTTTGCATTTTGCAATGGTCTGCGGGATTTTTTTTTTATCCCACGTATGGGGTGGGGAGGGAAGAGTCCACGCGCCGAGACTGCATCTCTTTCCCTCCCCGAGTTTATTCGCCAGCGCTGGGCCTGGCCTGCACGTGCGGAGCCGGAGGGAAGGGAGCGCCCCAGCTACAATCGCGTCCTCCTCTCCCTCCCACCTCTAGGACGGAGTCGTCCCCGCCCCTACCTTCATCCCACTCTCGTCATTGGCCCACTTTACAGGTGCCACGAAACCCAGGACCACTGCAGCGCTCTGCAGTGCGACGTCTGCGTGGGGCGAGCGCCGCAGTTCTCGGCTGCTCTCGGCAGTAAGGAAAAGGCGCTGCTTCGCGGGTGCCCAGGAGCGGGAGAAGGAACGTGAACTCGGCGCTAACGGTCTCTAGATAGCCACAACACGGGGATCTTAGGATCACTCTGTAACTCTCATTAATCCAGTCGCCACTGAGAATTCGCCTGGGAGAGGAAATAGGTTTCCAAACGATTTTTTTTAATCACTTCAAATATGTGCTGCCTTGCTTTTCTTTTCCTTTTCCTTTCTTTTCCTTTCCTTTTTTTTTTTCACCCTCGATTCCCTTTGCATGTCCAGAGATGGAATCGAAACTCTAACGTTAACTTGCAAAGATCTCGAGACCCACCGCAGTCCTTACTCCCTTGCATGCTCTTCCCTGCTTCTCCTACCGCCTCAAATGAGGCGAGATCCTGGGATCAGTGGCCGCAAAACAGAAGCGCAGAGCACTTTCTGATTGTAGAAAAAGGGAGGAGGGACGGAGGAAAGAAATGGAAAGAGAGAGGATAAAAAAAAATTGTGTTCATTTACACATTTCCTGTGCAGAACAAAAAAGTCCCACCATCAGCAAAAGAAGTCTCTTCCTCCAAAATAGCAACCAAGAGGGAAAATTAGAATATGCATAAATTCCTTCATTTTCATTCGCACAGAACACGATTTCCGGCAGATTTGTATTTAAACGGCCCGATTAATCCCAATTTCTGAACAGGGTTTCACTTCGCATCTTCCCAAAACTCACCTAAAGAGCATTGCCTCCCCTCCCCCACACTGCCCAGTCTTGAAACCATGCTTTTTCCATATTTTACACAGCCAGAGAGGCAGCTTCTTCATTGATTAAGACTGTAACTTTATTTTTATTGTCCACTTTTTTTTTTAAGTGAACTGATGTATTGGACCAAATTTTAATACAAACCTGACATTTCTCTTTGTGAAGCCATACTGGAAATGAGATTCTAATAAAAAATTAAAAATGCGTCCATTTCTAAAATGAGTAGTAAAAGAAAGTAAACGTGATAGGGCAAACCAACTTGCCTCTCATGGCATTGAATCCTTTTCTGTTCCACACAGGTAGATTCACCATTAGCAATAGTTGGAATGCTTGGACTTCCCTCCCTCCAACACTTCCCACTGCTCCCTCCCCATTCTTAAGTACCTCCGTAGACAATCACACAATCCTCTTTATAGGAGCTCTACTCTTCATAAATATTCAAAGAGTGTCAGTCTATTAAATCCCCCCACACTTCATTTCTAAAATATTTGCTTTGCCACTTGTGCAACAGATTTGGCTGTATCTGTCTTGAAATTTTCCTAGTTGGAAAAAAATGCTACAGTGCACCATTTGAACTCATTTCTTTCTAAAATATCATCTTTTCCCTTGGGCTTACATTGCCTATCTTAAGAAATGGAATAATTTCTTTTTTTCTAAAATAGTAAGATACAAATATTTTAAGAATGAAATTACTGCGCCTTGGTTCATATAGATCTTGATTCCACTCACCCCTAATGTTCTCACTCTTGCAGACACTAAGACAGAAATAACCGATATTTACTTCCTAATATGATCTAAGCAGTATAAAGTGATTCTGGCTTTCCTTCAGTATTTACAGATCAAAAATCCTGATTAGTCATAACTTAAAAGTTAGAAATGCTACTATTTGTTCATTTTTAGTTTCTATAAATACAAGAATACATATATGAACTAAGTGCAGAATGGTATATACAAAGTATATACCAAAACACATTAAACATGGATCTTATTGGCTTAGGATTTTTTAAGAACTTGGGTGTGTAGAAGCCTATTTTGTTAAATGCGAACATAAGCTCAGTTTATGAGAATGCCTACATAACTTTGACTACTTCTCAAACAGATCCGTTAAGCATTTATGTTCTGTCAAATATCATCAAAGTCTAAAACTTAGTTTCTTTTAGTTTGTCCTCAAGATTTTACAGTTATTGACAATTAAAAGCAAAGAGTTTGGGGATAAATTCTTAAAACCACACTTAAGGATTCATAGTAGGATCCAGAGACTTTGGCTGGTAATGTAAATTTCTTTCCATTTTCTTATTGGAACAAATAATAAATCCTTCTTAATCAAAGAAACAATTCAAACAAATAATCACAACTGAGAATGTTTTCTTTAAAATATAATTTTAATTAGGATTGGGTTTTTGATTTCAGATGGTAGACCATTACTTCAGGAAGAGTTCTAGAGAACTCCTTGTTCTCAGTTCATTCTTAGTGCACCGACACAGCCTGAGCTACCAGGGAGGAGCAGAACAACCTTCCGTCACAGCAAAGCCAGCTCTCTCCTGCAGATTGAGTCAACTTTCAAAGAAATTATTCCTTAAAACGAAAGCTTCATTTTTTGTTTTCTTTTTGCTGATCTTTTGTAAAATTATATTCTCACAAAAGGAACATTTTCAAACTTTTTGAAATGAAAATATTTATGTAGAAATCACAAAAAGATAGCTTTGTTTAACTAGTGTGAAAGGCAAAGCTAGAGAAGTATGCTACTAATACCAAGGGGAAACTGATCCTTCCTCTACTGACCCCCTCCCTTACTTCCTTGAACTAGTGTCTGGTTTAGTATATGTGTGAATTTGAAGACAATATCTAAAGAAAGGGGTTTTCTAGAGAACAAGATTGGCTATTTCTGACATGAATGCCTTTCCCGTTGTAATCCCCCACCCCCACCCAGATAAGACGTGCAGATCTTGTTTTCTCATAATTTTCAGAGCTACATCAACACACAGGAAAACAGAACAAAGCAAAAACATTTAACAGCTAGCATTTAACAGTTAGCCTTCCGTGTTCCCACACAGACCTACAATTAAAGTTTTTTTCCAACTGGCCCCAGTCACTGGGTTGCCAAGGAATTTTTATCACCTCTCTGTTCTCTTCTTGCATACCCACTCTTTTTCTCTCCTGACCAGCCTTCTTTCTCCTCCACAAGTGAAAGCAGTTAGCAAAATACCTGCCTGACTTTTGCCTGAGTCAAACACTGAGTCTTATTCCATTCCCACTTCACCCCCTTTTTATTTATTTTTTTTTTCATTTCCTTTTTCTTGGGGAAGGGTTAGAGGCTCCAGAGATGGAGAGAATCTTGGAGTTGAGAGGAGAGTTCCATTTCTTCAGGTACAGACTCATTCTGGCAAATTTTTCCAGCTTAGTGTCAGGAACTGGTGGCAGCTCTCACACCTACAGCAATATGCTTGCCAGGTATACAATTGTGAAAATCACCTTTGCCTCCTACTAGGAAAAGGGGCTAACTTTCCCAGTTAGATCACGCCCCCCCCCCCCCCCCCCCGTTACTGTTAATGTTTCACACTTGATCTCCTCCCTCTATTTCTACTCCCTTCATTTTATGGTCCCCTTCCCGGTCCTCCATACCTAAAGGAATCTGAAAAGTGGATGGACTGTGGAGGCAGGGTGCTCATTTCTAATTTTTAAGTCTTCGCCTATCCCATGTATTCCTCAGGACCAACTCCCCCTTCAGTCTCATGACAACCTGTTTATTTGTTCTCAGACTCAGCTCTGTAAGTATGCTTCCCAAATATGACATTTGCCCAAATTTTCCAGCAGAAATCCAGCAAGAGGGCACTAGGTCTTTCTACTCAAGGAAGTCTTTATTTGGCTGCCTTTGCTCCCAGTCTCCTTTCTTAGTTAATTTATTTGGCAACGGTGTCTGAGGAGATCTCTGTAGCAATGGAGAAGAGTAGATACACAGTACTCAGTTCCATTAAAAGGACCTACCATATTAGACCAAGGAAGTCTCTACTAGGACACTTGAGTTGGCCTGGAATGGATCATCCATGTAACCAGTGAAACAAATGGAGGAATGGAGGAATGCCCGACAGCAGCTGTGAAACACAAATTCACACTGACATGGATCCGTCTTCATCCTGTCGGCCAGAGAAACCATTTTAAAATTGTTTCTGCTATTAGCGTTTGCATTATTATTATTAACATCTTATTTTTGTTATTATCACTGCAGTTTGTGCTATTTTATTTTTGTTGTTGCCGCCGCTATTATACTATTCAAAAGAAGTTTAGGAAGATTAGTCAGATTAATTAGTTTATTGGTAATTTAAAAGCTGAAAAGTGGTAATTAAGCCAAAAACTAAAAATGATCAGGGATGACTCATACCAATGTAGGATTTGGGAAGAAGAGAATCTAAATTTTGAATATAAAATTTGGCAGCTGTGAAATAAACAGGACTTGAGATCAAAATATAATTGAAATATTCTTAGTCACTCAACCTCTCCCCCTCCTCTAAATTCAGCTAAGATCATTCTGAGATTTTCTTTATAGATGAGAATATGTGTATCCATATGTATGTAAAATATATATATATATATTTGTGTGTATACAAGTGTATATTATATATATATGGAGAGAGAAAGAAGGAGGGAGTCAAGGGAGTCAGTCATCAGCCTCCTGGTCATGTTCTCAGAGAACAAAGCCTCAAGCTTGTTCTTTCCCATGACTTTCATTTGCATGTGTATATCCTTGGGACCCTCCAAACATTGAAGTTCACTCCCCTTCAAGTTTCTTCTCTTTGCTCTGGTGATGCACATCCTTGAAGAGGGTGCATCATCTAAGACAGGTATACAATTTGAGTCTTTCCACAGAGAGATTCCATGGAATATAAATTCAGTAATGCATTTCTCTCCACAACAAACTCTCTGCTCTTTCAAATATAATTAATGTTTTGATAGTGTGGTTCTTTAACTATATATATACACACAAAAACAGACGCACCCTCTAGCTTTGCTATTTGTACATCTGAAGCAGAAGTGGATGTGACTCTTTCAGTGACTCCTAAAATTCCTCAACTCAGTAAACCCACAGAGACGAAATCTGTTAAGGTAATAACTGCACAGTCTGTTGTATGCCAAAAAATATTCAAGACAATAAAAAATGCAAGCCCCTAGGTTTTGATAGTCATTTTTTGGTCAAATTTATTAGAAAATAAAGGATAGTATGAATTGATATTCTAATAGTTACTAGATAATAGTCAAAATTACAAAAACATTGTCCTGAACCACTGTTTGCCTTTTCCAAGTTTTGGTGGAAACAAAATTTCATACCTTCCATTTTATCCAATTGGAGCTAAATTGACATAGATGTATTAAAAACTAGCACCCACAATAACAAAATCAACATGACTTTCACAAGAAATTGCTTAGTCTGTCAAACCCCTGATCTATGTTTTAGGTGAATTAATTCATTTAATTGTGATCAGTTGTATACTGACATATTTTCATGTAAAATAGGATAGATATGTAGAATGACAATATGGACTATAGCAGTTAAATGAACCTCCATATTCAAGCATACCATACCTCTAGCATTTCACTTATATAAACCATAAAAATTGTAAGATTAATTTTTGAAACCATAGGATGTTATACTGTCTTTAATAAAATACAAATTTATAATAATTCAGTAGAAATATAAACCTTAATACCCTATGGAGTTCTTGAATTAAAGAAGGAGGTATTTGAATTTCATACATTAATTTTCAACCATCATGGACATTTTATTTAATCTGTGATTGTAGATGAGGTGTTGGCATGGGGAAAATTTTACATGCTTTCCCTTTCAGCATAATTTTTAGAGGGGCTATGTAATGAGGTTTTGTAGGAAGTATTTTGAGATATTATTTACCATGTTTTCATGAGGTGCTCTGGGATTATGAGAGAATATGACAGAATGAAAAAGAAAAGGAGTACATGTGTCTGATTCCATGAAGGTCTCAACTGGATGGGAAGGACACAAAATTATTTCCTCAGTGCAGTTCTGCAAAATGGGGGGTGGAGGGGGAAGCAGAGAGGGAGACAGAGGGGGAGAGAGAGAGAGAGAGAGAAAGAGAGAGAGAGAGAGAGCTCTATAAAAAGCTCACATACTTTTTATTGTTTTGGAAGTGGGAGGAGTGGCTTTGTCATGGTCCTTTTCCCTTTACTTTCCTCCAAACTTAAAAAAAAAAATCTTGATTGTGGAAATTACTTGTCCCTTCATTCTCTCATGGGCTATATTTCAGTCACATTCTTTCAATTAAAACGTCTTTACAGGTACAGAGATTCAATCTTAGTGCAGGACTACATTACCAATACCAATTGTTTGGGGACAATCAACTTGACCTTTGCCTCTACTGAGCTCTCTATATATTCTCTAAGATCTTTTTTTACAATGTTGACCCATAATGCTGTATAACCTATCAAAAAGAAATCCACTCTCAGACATTTTATATTTTTTTCCAAGTTCTTTCTGTTTTCTTTTGTTATTGAATGAGTCAGTGACACAGCTACTTCTCTGGTTTTCAAATGAGGTTTTGTTTGGCTCAGATTAATATTAAAGAAGATCACATACATGGTTGGAAAATATTGTTATTTTTCTTTAATGGGGAAAATTGGACTCCCGCGTGTCAGATCTGTGGTTTTCCGAAGGGCAGTGGAAATGGTACTGACATCACTTTGCACTTTAACAATCCGATTTGGTCAGGGTACATGTTGTTTGTTTAACCCGACAGCTCCGTGCACCCCATCGCACACTTTGCACACTCATTAAAACGATTATTCACGACCTGTCGAGCGTTTTCGGGTTCATTCACAGGAAAGGCTTGGAGCGAGCCAGAGCAATTCAAGTCAGCACTGTCCACTATTCCTTCCACATGAGGACGAGCTAGTGCGTGGGTAAAAAGACTGAGAGGGGGGTGAGATGAGCACACTTTATCTCTGACTCCTGTTCATCGGATGCTTTGGAATCTCAGTCTCCAATCTCGAAAGAATGCCAAGAGTGGTTAATCCTGAACAGCCAGATCGCTGTGTGAACTTCAAGGGCTTGGCACAAGACAGTAAAATAAAGTAAACCAAGTAAACAAACACACACCTCACCTTCAGCTCCTCCTTTCTATCATCTGCAAAGCCTAAGGTTCCAGGGCTGGCCCACCTCTGCCTATAGTCACGGAACAGCTAGGCTCCACCTCTCAAGCGCTGATGCTGAGGATAAATAGTTTTAGTAAAACTCACAGATTAATTTCTTTTTCTCAAAATCCTTTCGTTCTCAAAAATGAGACTGAGTTCATTTTCCTCCCTATATTCCTTTTAAATACTAGAAGGGAAAAAGGGGGGCACGAAGAATGAAGAATGGGGCTGTTCACTACATTTGGTAGCACTACCAATAATTAGCAAAGAAAGACTCATCTTCAAAACTGCAAGTCCTAGAAAACAAGGTCCAAATACTCCTCAATTAAATAAGGATTCTCTCCCTCAGACCCCACTCTGCCCCCCCACCTTCTCAATCATCTTCGAATAATTTTTATGACAATAAGAGAAACACAAACGTTAGTGTATCTCAATCTCCTGTTATAGCCTTGTACATACAAAGGACACACCCTGTGGTCTTTACTTGTCTTATTCATTTAGGGAAACCCAAATCTTGATAAGAAATATTAATATACCAAAAATATACATATGTATTTCTATATGCCTTTAATAAGTACTGATGAATGCTGGAATATCTCATTCAACACAAATGTCTCTCACAAAATTTGAGTTGATACATTTTTTTAAAAATGCATTTCTGTATTCAAATCCTCTTACTCCTCCATTTTTTATCCCAGTATCTAATGATCATCTTATTGTTATGAGGTAACTTCATTATGCCAATGGGAAAAAAGGCAACACTTATTCACAAGTTTCATGCTATTAATTTTGACACCAGAAAATAATTCCTTTTTCTATTCTTTTGAAACATAGCAATAAAATGTGTGAAGAGAAGAATGAAAATTTTAAGGTAGCTTGAAAACTTAATCAGAAACAGATTTTTAATTGTTAAAAAGCAATTATGAATAAGTAATAGTGTAAACTCTTTGCGTTACTGCAAGTCGTTATCAAGTTTATTTAAAATTGATCTGTTAAGTGTATTTCCTATATAAGCTCTTTCATTAAAACCAACCCGCTATAATAAATAAGAAACAGATACTGAAATATATAAGAAAATAACTGAAAGCTTCTGCGTAAATAAACACAAATCAATGCAGTAATTGACAACCTTATTGATGTGAGAATGATCAATTTTATTTTTCCAAACTGCAATCAGATCTTGCAGTGTATAATTAAAACTATATTTTTCAACTCCTCTTCTACTACTACTGAGAAAATCAACAAACAAATAGGCTCTGTCTCCAGTTCTGATCTTACGTTATTCCTTCTAGAATATTTTTGATAGGATAGGATGACTTCTCTACCTTTTCTAAGAAAGCTTTGGCAAACTTTAAACCACATCATTAATTACAAAAATTATAAAAGTATCAAATAATGAAATTACTACCTTATTCTTGTTCTGAAATTTTCAGCCTTCATCTTAACCTCTAATTATTCATTCAGCACGTTTTAATAGGAAAAACACAATGGTGCTCATTATTTTAAAAGATTTTTTTCAACTACCTTTGAATTTTAAGATTCTTGGGGCCTTTTATTAAACAAATGGAAAAAAATGTCATTTTCTCCCTATATCCTAGAATCTTCCTATGCTTGTACATACAAGCATTCAGAAACAAGGAAGGGGAGGGGAGCATCTGCATTATTCCAGATTGTTTCAAGTAATGACTAGAAAACACACAAATGTCTAACTCAAAGAAATAAACATGCTTTGGATTTCTAGAAATTCAGAGCTAAAACACTTTTCAGACTTTGCTTAAACTCAAATTTCCTTTTTGAGAATATTTACCCCCGAGGGCCAGAATTAATTTAATTAGCAGGCACCGGTGTATGATGCCTTTGAGTAGGTTCTGTAGAATAGTGAAAATACGGTGTCCATATTTTTTCATCATCAACAAAGATGCTTATTTACATTAATTCTTGAATTAGTGTGATCTTTCTGAAGAATGGGCCTTTAAAAATATCTTATTTTTTGAAATTTGCGTTCTTAGGAAATGATTTTTTTCTATATATATTGTGAACATGTAAATACTAATTTTGATTATCTTTACACTTTTTTATGACTAAGCCTGTCTCTTTGATTCCTCATCTCCCCATCCAGGGAAAAAGATTTCAGAAGCCAGTGAACACAAAAAACATCATCAGTTATTTTTTAGGGCTAATCTAACAGATAATTTGACATCAAGCAACAATGATCAGGTCATTAAATCTCAGAGCAGTGAGACAAGGAAAGAAATGAGAAACAAAGCTCCCGAATCCACTATAGTTTTTAGCCCTCCTGCCCAATCCACAGAACCCAGGACTCCAGAGGAAGACGCCTTTGCACCTTGAAAGCATTGTGATGCAAGGAGTGAGACAATAAGAAAAGGGAGTGAAGGGGTGGTTAAAAAACTGAAAAAAGAGGACCACGTTGCTAGCTGAATAAGAAAATTCAACTTCAGCCGAAACGAAGTATCCACACACGTCTGGCAACTAAACACTCCCTTTCAATTCAGTTATGAATCTCCACATCTCTCCAAGTGCTGTCCTCTAATGCAGTTTTCCCCACAAGGCTGAAAACCAGGGGAAAGGATCACAGGCATTTGACAAGTCACCTAAAAGGTTTGGGGACATTTTCTCTCTCCTTCCACCCACACAAATGCAGTTTTTAATTGTTTGTGAATATTTCGAATACCTCTTTGGAGAACAACTTAGGGAACCTCCGCAGTCTCCCAGCTTTCATAGAGAGTTGGGTGCCAAAGGTGTTAAAGCATGGAAACTGGCTCTGTGGGATCTGGTCTGAGTAGGGTAGGTCGAAAGTGGGTGAGCTCTATATTGCACTGTCCTTTACCTCTTATTGTGTTTCCAAGACTTGATAATTTCCCGGCACACGCGGGACATTGCACGCGCGTGTACACACACACACACACGCACACACACAAGCACACACACACTACTTTGCTGTCCCCTAGTCCAAGCAGCTCTGAGTGATGAGGGAGTTCTTACCCCAGGCTACCCTATTCCCTGTAAGAACACTTCGTCTTGGACCACACAGGGTTGGGCAGAAAAGCCAAACCGCGCTGGAAATCGACACGGAAGAAGAGCACGGAAAGGACAGTGGACTAGAGAGAAGAGTCTATTCCAGAGAAAACAGTTCTATCAACTAGCGAATAAGTGCTGAGTTCTGAAACCGCACCAAGTAAACAAAAACAACTTTCGTGGGATGGGGTGGGGGGGCGGGCTAGGGTGAGGGGCGAGGGGCGGGGGTAGGGGTGGACACAGAATAAGGAAGAAGAAAAGAAATAGGTGGGGGGCAGCGCGCCAGCCAAGGTTCTGGAGTCAGTTTTCCTGGCACCAGCCTGTGTCAACTACCCAACTCGAGCTCTGCTTGTCCTGGGCAAGAGCGCCCTCACCTTGCTGCTCCCTGCGCAGCGCCCGGCTTCCCCCTCGTGGGGAATCGCGGCCACGGCGCTGCCAGCACCGCTCCGCCGCGCTGCGCCGCGCCACACGGCCGCCCAAGTCACTTTCTGCACAGCATTCCCCACGCCGAGCAAACACCAACACCGGGTCCCTACCACCGCGTCGAATGCCTCCATCGCACCCCGCCCCAGCTTCGTGAATCCCGGAGGCGCCGGCGAGGCCCGGGAGAAACCCGCAGCGAGCGCTCCAGAAAAACGCTCGCTTCGGGCCCAGCCAACCTGCGTCTGGCGCGCGCTCAGCCACTCTCGGGACAACCCGGGCTCTCGAGCTTAACGCCGCCGTCTCTTAAGTGTGCATTAAGAATCAATTATTTGCCTGCGATTCCCAACGCCGGGAACCGGCATATTCCCAGCAGGGACACAGAATCAAGCTCTGAACGGGGCTCAATTCCCCAGTCCTTCGAATGGGCGGAAGAGAAACTCCCCAGCCCTGTCCCGCGCCCGGCTCTCGCCCGCGCATTGCTGCGGAAATCTGGGGGGTCAGGATGGGCGGGTGGGGGGGTACAGGAGATCGCCTGGCTGATGCAGGCCAAGGAGCCAGGGGTGGAAGGAGGTTGTAGTGTGAGTGTGAAAAGAAGGCGGAAGAGGGGGTTCTAGCAAAAAGAAAAGAAAAGGGGTGGGGGGGAAGAAGCAAAGAGAAGAGGAGGGAGGGGAGAAATGTGAGAAGGAGGCTAGTTCTGGACTGGAGAGCAGAGCTTTGTCTGAGATGAGATGAGCAAATCCTAAGGCTGTGAACGCCGAGAAAGCCCCGGTAGGGCTTTCTCTCCAAGCTGCAACAAGACCCAGACGTCCTATTTCCCCCAAATGAATTGCTTTACACTTGGAGATCTAGTTTAGCAGCCTACCATCCCTTCGCTATTTTAACACACCGTCTTCATTTCTCTTTAGCATATATCATTTACCATTACACATCTTCGTGTTTCTAGGGACCTACCGTGTCATTCTGCCGACACGGAAAAAACAAAACAAAACAAAAACACCACGCATCTTTTAGCGGCTTCTGTTTACAGTGCATCCGCTTAGAAAAACACACCAAAAAAAAAAATTTTTTTTAAGAAAAAAAGAGGATGCCTCTACCCAGGACTCAAAGTTGCAAGCCCCGTCAAAAATTCTGTCCCACAAAGCCTTGACCCTTCAGAAAGTACTTTCACTTACCGATCCTGGAGAGTGAGCTCTCTTGGAGTCCTCCCGTCCTCTTCCTTGACATCCTTCGGATAACCTCGGGCATAGTCTTTGGTGGAAGGGGGGTGGGGCGGGGATAGAAATCGGAAGAGAGAAGAGATTCAAAACATACCACTATATCATATGTCCCCTGGAGCCACCTTGGCCTACATCCTGGAGACAAGGTCCCGAGAACTGACTGCAAGACAGGGGGAAAGGTCGGTTTAGGGGCCGAAAACTAAGAGGTGGAATTTTTTTAACTGCTGGCGACTGGGAGGAGGGGAGCTCCTGGCGGGAGGGTAAAAAAAGGGGGGGGGGATGATTAGTTGGATAAAAGAAAGTTCTATAAAACAAATCATAACAATCACATCCCTCCCCCAAAAAAGGAGACGCAAAAGAATACTGAGTATGTAATAAGTACTGTGAAAGAGGGCGCCTCTGAACTCTTACAGGTAGGTAATTCTTAGGAAAACTCATCGTCTAGATGCAGAAAACAGCGTCTAGATGACCCCTATTCTTTCCCCCATCTTCAGGATCTGGCCATAAGTAAGACAAAAAAAGGAAAGGGGTGCGATTTCAATTCAAGGTTCACCTACCCTGCTTGTTGGAATGGCGGTCCAGATTTTCATGTTGGAGAGTTCCATCTGTCTGGTAGGAGCTGGAGTGGTGTTGGGGAGAGGTTATCTGGTGAAGGAGGAATGTACAGGAACCCCGCCCTCTAGGCACAGTTACACAACCCCAGCAAACCCGTCTCAGCCAGCTCTAAAACCTCTAATGATCTTCACCTTCACCCTTTGTTAGCCTACTTCTTCTACTGGCACTCAGTACCAAACACAACCGTCAGTGGCAGGTAGTCATAGAATTTCTCAAAAGCAGAATTATTTCAATGCATGCAAATTCCTCAACAAAGTTGTTGGAAAGAGACTTTTAAACACATGTATATATTTAGAGCTCTAATATATTTCACGTGTCCACCTATTTGAATGAAATATCCACCCACTTATATACAGTAAAATCAATATACAAGATTCTTTGACTCTTTACCTCTATTTTATGCAAGTTATAGAAACCAAATGAAATCTTCCACGGCCATAAAGATACTTGCATTAAATCTTGCTAGCTCTGGACTTCACGTGTTCACTTGATTTCCAATTTTGTAACAAGTTGAAGACACATGTGGAAGATTTCTTTTCACTGCCCTATAACAACCAATTTTTCACTGTTTCATAAATTAATAATTTTATTCACTCCAAGCCAGAGAAATTCAAGTAAAATATTTTAAACCAGAAAATATTTTGTAATTTGGGATTTCAACTTTAAAGTGGTGATCATGTTCAGTTTCCAAATTTCAAAAAGAGCAACTTTCATCTTGCTGAAAACAAAGTATGAGAAAGGAAAGACTTCACAAAGTTCTGCAATGTTTTTTCTGGCATAAGCTAATTTTACCTGGCAAAGGTGGGTGACAACAAATATCAACACAACATTAGAATCAACCAATTTGTTAAATAAAAAAAAAACACACTATTAAGTGCCATACTGGTCTGCCATGTGTTTTTAAAGAGAAAACTTGGGAATATAGGGCAGACTGAGGTAAATAAAATATCCATAGTGAGATTTTGAAGACTTTTGCAAAGTTCTCTCTTTATACCCCACTTAATATTGAGTATGCATATTAAACATGCCATTTTTACTCCATTATATTGGATATGTATCCAAGCAGAATGCCTATTCCACTGTTAGTTCTAAAAATTGAAGGGAACTCGGATTTGCTCTTAATCTTGAAACACGAAATTTGCCATTTAAATTCTATTTCTCAAATCATGCAAACAAATATTTAGTACAAATAAGTAGTTATTTAATGTGAACAGAAAAAAATATAAGCAAAGGGGAAATCTTTCTTTTGTATCTATGCTCCTTTCCCTTATTATAAGTGTTCAACTTTCTTCTTAACTTTTAATAGGCAAAGACTGTTTTTTTTTTCTGTTAGTACATTCTCAGTCAACAAATGAAAACCATAGTAAAAGCAAACAACACATCATCACCATTTTCAGTCTACACACATTTGTGCTGTAATTGTAATGGGGATGGATTCCTTTGCCTAATCTCATTCACTTGGGCTCTACTACCATTTTTCTACTACTTTTAATGAGGCACAAATCTGATTTCTAAAATAATCATTGACAATTTCTTCCATGCTTAATATTCTGAAGAACTTAATTTAAATGAAATGCTTAATAATAACTGAAGGTTAATTTCAAAAACATGACTCTCTCATGAAACTGCTCTTATAATAAGAAAATAAAATGTCCAATGAGCTTAAAGGGGATAATTATACTAGCTGTCTTGGCCTATTTTGGTTTGCTCCCACTTGTGTATATTTGGTTCCAGCTTTTTTAATTTTCCTAGCCCTTATCTTTTTTGTCTTTCTTAGATCTTTTTCTCTCTCTTTTGGTTTCTGTCTCATTCTATTTTCTTCTGTTCATTTTGGTGGTAGGATATTTCTTTTTCTTAAAGATCCTTCTTTCTCCCTCCCCCCTCCTCTTCCTCTCTCTCCCCCTTATCTCCTTCTCTCTCTCTGTATATCTCTCTCTCCCTCTCTCCCCATGTTAAAACCCAGTCAACCCCATGTTTCAATATTAATTATTCTGGATTTCTGCTTCCTATATCAAACCTATTCGAGTCAGGTTGTTTCTCTCCTAGACTTTTTTTTCCCCCTGAGCAACTCTCTAAGTGTTTGCCGATAACATCTCGGGGACAGATTATTTTTCATTGGGCCCATTGTAAGAAGTAGCCAGCTTATTGCATTACTGCAGAACACATTTCAGACTATACAATTGTAACAAATGAACAACTTGTCCTCCATAGACTCACCACAGGATCCAATTAGTTACTAAACCTTTTACTTAGGTTTTCTAATTATTTTCTGAAGAACTCATAGCAATTGGATTGCTGAAACAATTCAAAAAATGTTTTCATTGTTCCATATATATGCATATATATGCATACATATGTATATTGCAAATTAAAACAAAATTATGACTATAACCAAGAGGAACAAATTTCTAAGTTATACAGACATATTTAAAAGGGAATCAAATAAATACCTCTACATTGTAAAAGTAAAAGGAGAGGCATTTTATACTTCTGAACATCTAGAATTTTAAACTGATATAATGTTAAAATATAAACATTGATCTGCAAGTCATTACAACAGGTGATCAGCAAAATCTATATTGCAACTTTAGCACATCTTTATTAGAATTCTTTCATTGTGGATAAACAGCCACAAAAATAAATGCTGACTTAGAAAGTATAAATACAAATATTTAAACAAAATATTTGCAGCATTCATAGCGCAAATTTTTATCTGAACTAAAGGGCTCTGTGTGTCTATGTATATGTATTATATATATGTTACATATGTGTGCATTATATTCACATCTATCTAGCCATATACATATATTTATTTAAAATTTGTCAAGTCCTATAAACAAGATACCTGAAACAAAATATATAAAAAGCATTCTATTAACTGATTTGAAAATAAACACAAGGTAAATAGCTATGCACATAAAATTAAATTATATCTTTTTGCTGTATATCTACAGAAAATTAAAAATATCAGCAGATTTAATTTTGTTTAAAGCTTGTGTTTATTTAATAGCTTGCTCCTTGTAAAATGTAATTCCGCAATGGGAAAAAAATACTATTTTTCAAGTCTCAGTTCAGTGAAAGGAGCACTTTAAATCTCAGTTCGGCTGAAAAAGCCTTTGACTTCCCTAGAACTTTAACGGTCTTTTAAAAATTAGCTCTATTTAATAAAAGAGACAAAAGTATCAAGATATATATGAATTTAGCCTATTTTTTATTTCTGTGTGTTCATAGTAAACATTTTTGTAAGTGACAAACACGGGCATATGACCACAGTATCACAATCAAGAAATTTTAAGACAACATTAACAATCACTCAAATTTATGCGGCATTTGCGCAACACAGGTTACATATTTGCAAGGTTTACCTATAAGTACAATAGGTATTAACATTCCACTACATTTAGAAAAAATAAAAGTGACCTGTTAGTGACCACATACATCAAAATATACACAACACAAACTGAAGGCAATCATTAATTTTGTCCCCTTCCAATTCATTTGAATGGGCAGTGCTGCCAACTGAAACAACTTTTCTTTTTTGTGTTTGTTTTTGTGTGTTTTCTTTTTTAATACTTAGTATACCAAGTGCATTTTCTAGAACCCAATCTTTGGTCTAAAAGTAAACAAAAGGAGGGGGGAAAAAAACAGCTTTCAAAGAAAAGGACAAAACAAATAAATGGCCAAAAGAATTTCTTGGGCACCTTTACTACGAATGCTCTTAAATACAAATTACAATTTAACATTTTAAAAACTCTCCCCATAATTTAGGTTGTTCTCAAGGTCTGCGTCCCCCCTAGAGATCCATGATAACTTATAATACTGCACACATGGAACTCGGGCGGCGCTCAGAGATAGGCTTGTCAGGTTTGAATGAAATGGCAAAGCAGTCACTATTTAGATACACATTCTACGATAATTTTTGACTTCCGAACCTTATATTCTACAATGTATTCTCCCCGCATTGCACCTCGCTGACACTCCACACCTTGTTAGAATAATCAACAACCCTAAAGACTGAACAAACGTACAGAAATGGGGGGGGGGGGACTGGGGGCGGGCTTAATAAAAAATACCTGGACTTATTTTTTTTTAATTATCATTTACAATGCAAATGTGTGTAAAACGTTCACTTACAGTCTGGTCCCGGGGAGGTTAATGTATTAAAGGGTTGGAAGAAGACCCCTGATTTTGATGTGTGAAATAATCAGACAGTCCCCCGGACAGTCCCGTCGTGAAACTTGGCAAAGAGGGTCTTAAAGACTCACAGGGCAGGGTGGAGGGCGCCTGCGGAGACGTGGACGACGACGCGGCCCGGGCGCTCATGGACGTGCTGCTCTGCGAAGTCATTGACGGGTGCGGGACGTGGGGGAAAAAGTAACTGGTCTGGCCCGCGAGCAGGTTGACCGAGCAGGGGTTGAGGGAGTAGGTCCCGGAGCAGGGCACCGACAGGCCGCAGGGCACCGAGGCGGCGAGCGCCGCGGCCGTCAGGTGGTGCGTGGCGTACGGGATCTCCCCGTTGACCAGACGGTCCACGCTCAGGCCGTTGGCCGTGGAGAAGGAGTGGTTGTTGCCCAGCGAGTTCTGAGTCAACACGGAGCTGTAGGGCATGGGGTGGCTGGGGTAGGCCGACGTGGTGCCGTTGTAACTCAAAGTGCTGCTGGCGCGGGGGTGGTGCAGGGACAGGAAGGGCGACATGGGCCAGTAGAGGGAGCCGGCGCGGTCCATGAAGGTGAGGCCCGTGGAGGTGAGGCGCGCGCCGCGCTTGAAGGCCAGCTTGGCCCGCGACGTGGTGGAGCGGCGCCGCAGCTTGCCCGTGGTGCCGCCGATGAACACGTCGTCGCTGGACGGGTCGAGCATCCAGTAGTTGCCCTTGCCCGGGTCGTCGTAGTGGCGCGGCACCTTCACGAAGCACTTGTTGAGCGACAGGTTGTGGCGGATGGAGTTCTGCCAGCCCTGCTTGTTCTCGCGGTAGTAGGGGAAGTTCTTCATGATGAACTCGTAGATGCCGTTGAGCGTCAGCCGCTTCTCGGGGCTCTGCCGGATGGCCATCATGATGAGCGCGTTGTAGCTGAAGGGCGGCTTCTCGTACTTGCCGTTCTTCTTCTCGCCCTCCTTGCCCCCCTCCCCGTCCTTGCCGCCCTCGCCCGCCCCCTTCTTCTCCTCCCCCCCGGCGCCGGCGCCCTTCTCCTTCTCGTCCGGCCCGACGGGCGCCAGCTCCCCGGGCCCCGCGCCCGGGTCGCCCTTGCCGCCCAGCCCGTCCGCTTTGGCCCCGTCCAGGGCGCCGGCGGGCGGCGGCGGCGGCGGCGGCGGCGGCGGGAGCAGCAGCTGCTGGGGGCCCTTGTCGTCGTCGGCGGCGGCCGGCGCGCCCCGCGCCTGGGGGGGCTGCGGTGCCTGGGGCGGCGGCGGCGGCGGCGGCGGCGGCTGCTGCTGCGGCGGCGGCGGCGGTTGCGGGGCGGGCGGCGGCGGGTGGTGGTGGTGGTGGTGGTGGTGGTGGTGGTGCTGGGGGTGGTGGCTGTTGTGGTGGCCGTGGCTCGCGTGGTGGTTGTCGTTCTGGACGGCCTCGGGCACCAGGCTGTTGATGCTGAACGAGGACTTGGGGATCATTTTCACCTCTTTCCTATCTCCCATGTCCAGCATCACCCAGTCGTCGGGGGGGAAACGGCGGCGGCGGCGGCGGCGGCGGCGGCGGCGACTGCGCGGGAGCGGGGCAGCGGCGCGGCGGGCGGTGGCGACCGATGGGTGCCGAGCGGGGCGCGGGTGGCGGCGGCGGCACTGAGCGCTCCGACAGCAGCGCAGTTGGACCGCAGGCTCCGGCGCTGGCAAGTCATGTAGCAAAAGCAGCAACCACCCCTCAGGAATTAGAAGAGGGGGGGAAAAGGAAAAGAAAAAAAGAAAGAAAGAGAAAAAAGAAACAACCACCGCCCCGGGGGTGAAGCTCCCTCGCTCCCAACTCTTACTTCTCGGTCTCCCCCCCCCACCCCCCCCGCTCCCCCCCCTTTTCTGCTGCTTCCTCCTCCTCCTCCTCCTCCTCCTCCTCGTCCTCGTCCTCGTCCTCCTCCTCCTCCTCCTCCTCCTCCTCCTCCTCCTCCTCCTCCTCCTCCTCCTCTCGCAGCAGCAGTCACAGCAGCAGCAGCAACAGCAGCCCAAAGGGGGGGTGGGGGGGAGAGCCGGGCGGCGGGCGGGCGCGTCCCGGAGCGGCCGCGGCGAGGCTGGGGAGACAGCGATCGAGGCGGCTATAGCCACAATTAATTTTCCGAGCTACAGGCGCACACTAGGGCTGTAAAAAAATTTTTGGTTTAACCTTTCCTACCTCTGGGCCAATCAGAGCCGGCGGCGTGCGGGAGCGTCTCCCCTGCCGTCGACCAATCGGCGGGCACCGACCCACCCACACCCCCCCGGGCCCCGCCCGCCGGCTCCCGCCCCTTCGGTGCTCGCCTGCCCCCCACCCCCACCCCACCCCCTTCCCGCCCCCTCCTCGGGCCTCGGCCTCAGGGCCGCGCCGAACCGCGTAAGAATACGCCGAGGGAGCACGCAGCGCCGTGGCCCTTCTCGGCGCTCCCCTGCACCCGGCTGGGCCGATCCGCCGAAAAAAAAACCCGCTCTTAGGGCAAAATATCTCACAGGCCTGGGCTCCTTCTCACTGTATGGGGTCTTTCTCGTGTGAGCGTCAATATTGTCCTTACCGATTAAAGTTTGTATCCATTTTTTAAAAATTATTTTTTAAGCGGGGGCGGGCGGCAGTGGTGGTGGGTGCGGAGTGGGAGTGCGGGGAGAGGACTTGCAAGGAGAGGGCAGGAAACGGAGGAGGAAGAGGCGAGGCAACCCTCTCCCCGTGTCGGCCCTGCAGGCCCAGGTCGGGTATTTCGGAACCCGTAGACGGAAAACTGTGTCCCTGGTTCGGGAACACGCCGGGGAGGCTTCCGATGGTTTTGGGGAGGGACCACCCAGCCGTGGCGTGGGGCGGGGGGGGGGGGGGTTGGCCTTTCCCTCCCGGGAGGAAGGTCTGGGAGAGGTTTGGTCGGAGGGGATGCGGAGGAGGAAGTGGGCTGGCGAGCACGGGGCCAAACGGGGGTTACTTACTCGGTTCCCGTGGCCCGGGCGGCGGCGGCGAGCTCGGAGCTCGGGAGCCGCGGGTTAGCCGGGCCTGGGGCTCCAGGCTCTGCGCGGCGGGCGGGGGCGGCTCAGCGGCGGGCGTCTCTGTCGGCCTCCCCAAATGAGGGGTGCTCAGAGAGAACACAATACCAAACAGTCTCGAAATAAACCAGGTAACACATGCTCGCGAGTGCGTGTCTTCCTTCCCCTGCGCTGCTGCTCCAGACCGTCGCTTACGCGCGCAGTCCTTGCCTCCTCGCCGCAGCCAGCGTTTGCTCAGCTTCTGCTCCGAATTGGAAGCGAGTTAGCCCCCGAGCGATCACCCTGGAAATAGTTTTCATTTTGCTTGTTGACATTGGAGGGAAAACAAGGGTGGGCGTCTGTTTCTTTCCATCTTTTTTTAAAGCCCTCCTATTTTCACTGCCTCTTTTCTTTTTTTTTTTTTTCTCCCCGTTTTCTCAAATGTTTGTATTTGATGCGGACCTCTGTCCCGAAATAACCGCACGGGAGAGCTAGCCCTTTTCCCACCCAGAATGCCTCTGTTGAAAGGCACTCGGGAGATTGGTGGGAATAAAGGTTACCCCAATCCCAGCTTCTTGGGCTTCAGGACTGGGAAGATTTGGCTGAAGGCTGAAATGAGTGGGGGAGTTTTGATTCGGGGGGCTTTAAAAGGATCCCGTGGCCAGGGGCAGGGCTAAGGCCCAGCATTTCCCAGGCATTGGAATTTGGTGCGGAGCACACTGATCAAAGTCTGTTTCACCCCACATGGGTACATAACCACATTTTACCAAGGATCTAGCCCCGATTGACGAGGGAGGTGGCGGAGAAGCATAAACGAAAAGCACCTTTTCCCTCCTCCTTAAGGTAAATAATCATGCAATGCAAGCATTTCGTCATTTAGATAAACTCAGCTAAGTCACCGGGCCAATCCGGTGTTTAAGAAAACGGAGGAAGCAAAGTGGTGCCTATAGGCTATGTTAAAGTTCAGCTCCAATGTAAAAAACGTAATTGGTGAATACTCAGGTCAAGCTAATGGGGGGATGAGAGGGATGATTCCACCCTTCCTCCCTCCCCTCCTCTCCCCCCCCCTTTATATTCTGAGTCAGAGAGAAATAGACAATTGTATGTAGCCAGTGATTCTTACATATGTACCTATTAGTAATGCCATAATAAAAGAGTTTTGAACATTGGACCAAGTCACCTCCAATAGCCTTCCACTGTATATGTGTAGTATGTATTGCCCCCTATGTCTAGAAATTTCCTTACATTGATACAAACTATTTGCATGTTGAAAAACTCAAGGGTTCCAGTGATCATCCTTGATAGTGACATGGCTCCAAACATTGACTTCTAGCTCTGGATTTCTTACAGAGCCGGTGAGCTAATGGGCTTTGCAATGGGCCAGAGATCTATGGGCCTTCCTCTTCGAGCTCATTTTTCCTCCTCCCACTCTTCTCCCCTTCTCTGGCCTATTATTCCTACTTTTACTCAACTCTTTCCTCCCTCCTCCCCTCTCCCCCCACCTAGCTTCTCCCTCCATTTCTCTCCCCCACTCCGTTCCTCCACCTACTCCTCCCCATTTCACCCTCTATTACCCCCCCCTTCTCATCACCACTTATAATGGCACACAAGGGCTCCCTCTGAGGTGGGCTGCCCGGTACGTTTTCGTAGTCGGTCTAGCGTGAAATGATTCGGTGTAACCGGATTCTTGGGAAAGGACAGGTTACGTAAACATTTACTGATGTGGAGTAACTATACTATTTGTACTCTGATATGCAGGAAGGAAAGTGTTGATTAACACAGAAGAAAAAAAAAGCGAAATTAGCTGATTGCATGCTCATAAGTGCAAGCTGTCATTGAACTGCTTTTAAAATAGACACAGCTGGGTGTTTGTGTTGAAAAATTTCTTGTGTTTTTGCTAATACTGAAATAAGCATGATTTTGTATACCAAACATTTTCAGATCATTAAAATTTGTAATCTGTGCTGGTTTTAAACACAAAGAAAAGAAACAGAATCATTTCGATGTAAAATTTGCTGATATTATATTAACTCAATCAGGTCTGTACAAATTGTGCATTGTGCCTTCTAAAATCTGTTTGATCAATTTAATACACAAAGTGCCAAACGTGGGTATTGTTTGTTAACATTGGACATTTTATTCAAATCTGAGCTCACAGCAAACTGGAGAAGCATTCCTTGAATACAACACCAGCACTGACTGATGAATTTTTAATGCTTTAAGGTATTTCTTAGGTCAAAGCTGACTGTACGTTGCTTTGTACTCCTGCACGAAATTTTAGCAGGTGAAAATAAATTTTTCTTCTGCTTTATATCAAACAACAAAAACTAGGGTCTGCTGATGAGACTGCATTCATCTGATTTTATGTGCCCAGAAGCTTATATAGACTGGGAAAATGTTTTGCATGCAAATTAAGAATGTGCTCTATTAAGAATGGCATGTATGGAGTCTCTCAAAATAGGATATTTGTGTAGGAATAGACTATAGTTTAATATGACCATATTAAAGATTTATTCTCAGTGACAAAGGGCATTTGCAATTTGGGGGGAAGGGAGTCTGAATTCCTATTAGTGATTTTAATTGGACTTTATGATGAACAAGTGCTGTGCATATATAAGCATATACATTTATACAGGTGTGGGCTAGATATGTTCCTCAAAACATGAACTGTTTACTCAGCAGCCCACGTTTGTCTTAGCCATAGCTTCTTTTTAGAACTGCCATGAGATGAAGTGGAGGGGGGGGTTCTTGGGCAGAGTATTGTGCAAGTTGAAAGTCCCTGATGGGGCTTTGTATGTCCCATGGGCCAATTTGGGTACAAATTAGATTTGAAGGACTGCCCAGGGCTACCTCTTAGGGAAGAGTCTCTAAGAACCTGATTCCCTACCTCTTTATTTCCACCTCACTCAATATCTGTGATTACCTTGGAGAACATTCACTAGTATCAGATTTGTAATAAATTCTGCATTATTTTTATTTTTTATATCAACTTTATCCTCACCTTTAGTACACATATCCACAAATAAATATACACTGTTAACAAATCAAAGAAGAACTGAAAGCAACTATAGTTTCTAGTCTATGTAATAATGCACTTCTCCCTATGCCTGTAGTCTAACCCCCAGCCTCTATTCTTACCCTTCCAGGACAGACCTTGTGAAAAACAAGCAGTTCCAAGGGAAGAATTACTTGGGAAATGAATTGGATTATTCATTCTCCAGCTTTAATTAATAATCTAAAGTCTATAGCTCACTGCCTCCAAGTAGGCAGCAGCAAATTTAGTTTTCCTGATGGTGTTACATTGTGTTCCTTAAGTCCTAGTTCCAGCTGTGGATTGGAACTTTGCCTCCTTTTTCCCCTTGTTATCTGCTGGTTAAAGGAGGGCAGGGCATATTTACCTAAAATCCAACCAGCTCCCCAAACCCTGGACATGGTGTCCTTGGAGTGACGCCCAGCTCTGGTTAAAACAACCTCTTTCTGCAGATGCACTGGGCAGTCCTTGACCCCCTGATATCTGGGAACCAGCACCATGCAGGTGCATCTAGATTTTCCAGAGATCCAGTGACAAGCTAGACCTGCCCTGGCTCCAGTGCTCTCATCTGTAGTCCTGTTCTAACAGCAGATAATGGTGCTAACATTTAGTGATTATAAGTTACTCTTTAGAGTGTTGTATCTTTGTTCTGTGGGTTTTGGTTACAGGTTATATGATTAGGTTTGCGAGAACAGTAGTGAACTAAACTTCTCAGTAAGAGGTCTTCACACCAGGGAAGTGTTACTTTCCTGCAGCAGCCCTGCCTCATCACTCATTAGGGAGCTGTAGGTTGTCAAGCTGCTGCTCTCAGTGCGCTCTTGAACGCGCACCCCACACACACGCACCCTCAATATCTCTGGGCACGTGCCTGCGCAAGCACACAACACGTACACACACACAACACACACAGGGAACTAAAACTAAATTAAGAAGCCGATGATTAAGACAAATGTCTACTAGGCCTGTCATTTCAGCATCCTTCCATCATAACATTGTGGCACCAGCAATTTTGCTTGAGAACCTTGAGAAAAAAAAATTATGGGAGAGCCTCCTGTTTGAGAATCAAAATGTTTAAGTAGTATAGGATAGGAAACCGTTTGGAAGTGAGAAAGTCTAAGATGAAGAAGAAGGAGCAAGGAGAGATGGAGAAGAAGAGTAAAAAGAACAATAGTGCCTCAGTAGAGCCCCTTGAGATTCTCCCAAGTAGGTTTCCGTGATGCTGCTAGAGGTTCCAAGCTTCCTTAAGGCAAGTACATACTCATTCTATTATGCAGCAACATACACCTGGGAAATACCTTTTCTCAACATCACCACTGGGAGAGCAAGGCACAGATAGATCTACCATGAAATATTACCACCCCAGGGAAAAGGCACCTTAAAGTTCCTCCAAATAACTTATCCGCTGAATATTGTGCACATCTCCTGTAAATGCGAAACACTCATTACCCTTTTGCTTGTTTCCTGTAACATGCCAGCATACTCAGATATCTTCACACATGGACCAGTCACAGGAGGATTTGAGCTCTTGAGAGTTAGAAAAAGGCCTGTTTCATCTCTTTGACCGGAACCATTTAGGAGACTTGATCGCACACATTTTGAAAAGTGAGCCCAGAGCGCCAAATTCCTATTTCCCCCCTCTATTTGCCTAAGGATTTGATGCAGCCCATCCTTCGAAAGGGTCAAGAGAAACTAAAATGAGGCAAGAATTGGGGGATATTGTGATAGTAAACCAGAATGTAAACCAAGCTCTCTGTTCTAAAAAGGGAGGAAATAAGACTTGGCAAAAGTCAGAATACAAGACACTGCTATTTTGGATTTCTCATCAGTATGACACCAAAGAGGGAGAAAAGGCACACACACACACACACACACACACACACACACACACACACACAACCAGGCTGAAATAAAAGCTTACAGGGCTCAAAATGTTGAACGCCCCATCACTATTCTCATTAATTAGTTATAATTAGTTGGAGCTTCAATTGAGTTCTTGTAGGACTCAGAACAATATACTTTGGGAAGTGATACAGTACTCTTGGGAGATCTGTGGACCATTTCCTCTATTTTGAAGCACCTTTCCAAATGGTCCCCCGCACTCCAATCATTGAGGGGAAAGATAAAAAAAGGTGTGACTCCAGAGCGGTTATTGGGTGTCAGCTCTGAACCAATCACCCCTTCAGGAGTTAAAAGTACACAGAGAGCACTGAGAAATTGAGGATGCCTTGGTGAGCCTATAT